AAAAAATAAAAGAGGGCACGTGGAATTGCCGATTATTAATTAAAATGGACCACAGCTGGATTAATTACTATATCTACTCTTTTCTAATGAGATTATTATTAAAAACGAATTAAAATAGGCCACAGCTGGATTTACATTTTAACCCATAATCAGTGACACCTGTCACAAACTCAGACCTTCAAGATAAGCTGTGGAAAGCCCAGAGTTATCCTTCGGAGTTCGGAGTTCAGACGAGACGACCAAACCGGCCCAGCTGTACCGCTATCTACTTAGCTATTTTTAAGTCCCAAACCATGGGCCCTGTTATTAACACGAAAGAAGTAAAAAATGCCACGGAATAAGAAAAATTTTTGGGGATTGCTACGGAAATTGGCTTGGCGACCTCGCGCAGAACATTGGCACCACCAACAGTTTAGCTGCCGAGTTATGGGCCTAACGTGATGGCCTTCGTTTGGCTGTCTCTAGAAATATCACTCTGCCTCATTGTTGAAACGGATGCGTTCGTTGCTTTCTATTTACTGTCTATTATTCCTTTCAACCGCTTGTTTGGGTAGTTTCACAAGTTATTGTTGAAGTCTCTTGTTCTGTTATAATACTTGTAAATCTTGAACAACTATCCTTGATGAAAATATGTTGACACTTAAGATAATAATAATTACATATTTTAGAGGAAAAAACTCTCGTTAATCAAACATTATAAAAAAAGAAGTATAGTAAAATTCTTAGATTTAATAAAGGTAGAAAAATGATATTTATAACTCTCATTTATAATACTACCATCGCATGTCATTATTTAATAGTTCATGTGCTGCTGGTTATGTAAATGAGTTTCCACTGCTCATCTTTATTTTTTGGTTTTTATTGTGTCTTTAACCAGTACTAGGCCAACTTCCCAACACCTCTCATGTTCTAAGTTTTCTCACTTTGGATTGTAGGGACTTACTCCACCAGATTCCACATGTGAAGCTGGTTTATGTTGTCCGTCAGTCGAACATGGCTGCTGACCAAATGACTAAGGATGGGACACGCCCTCATTCAAGATTTTGCTGTGTTTTCCCAATGTCCCTCTGGTCCCTCTGGTGTTAAGTTGTTTTGTATTTTGGACCTTATGGGGTATATGTATACTATCCCTGGGTCACACTGATGTTTATCTTTGTGTTTTATTAATCTAATATTCTCATTACCAAAATAAAAAAACAATCAAAGGACTGTTTTACCCCACCCTTTGCACACTACTCAGGAATCACCGTCTTCTTTGAAGTCTAACATCCTCTGTTCCATACTTCCATCACCATGATTCTCTGTTACACTTCCAAAAGTATCAAAATGATGCTTAAATGTGTATTCCCACTAAATCGCGAAAGTATACTGCTGACCAACAATATGAAAAAATCAAAGCAAACTCTTTTAAGTTAGCTAATCTTATAG